AAACGTTCAGGATACTGATTTTCAATCAGAACATTTTGAAAAAATTTAGTTAATCTTCTAAAGTATTCGGAGTACAGATAGTGCGGATCCTATGGCATAAGGAGCGAATTAGATTTCCCTGGGTTCATAGAGGCACCCAACAATAAAAATTCGTGAGTTCTCCATTCCATGTGGATTTTCTGTGGATGGATCTTTCGAGTAATCCATTGTCTTGTTTTTTTAACTGCACATCTAAGAAGGATATCTTTGAATTAAGTTCCTTCTCTAATGTGAATTTGGTTGAAGGGTGGCAGTTATTAAATTGGGATAGGATATCTTGTAGATTATCCATACTATTGGAGATGATGAAGGTATCATCTATCTACGTATCACTTAGAAAAATAGAACTGGTTGATTATTCCTTTTAGGTGTGTGTTGTCTAGCTTTGACATGAAGAAATCTGAAAGCAAGGGTTTCAATTGTGAACCCAGAGCTTTGCTATCTTTTTGTCTATGTATTTCATTATTGAAGGAAGACTGAACGTTCAAAGTGCATCTCAACAGCAGCTCCTTCAGATGATGTATAGGTATCTCAATATTCAATCCATTAGAATCAATATAGTCACATATGTAACATATTGTCTCAGTCAAAGGGACACTTGTAAATAATGAGACCACATCTAAAGAGAACATGATTTTGTCAGAGCAATTTACATTCTCTATAAAATTGACAAATTGAAAGGAGTCGTGAATTGCATGAAGTGAAACCTGCCTTCTTATAGGCTGCAGGATTGTGACTAACCACTGGGCAATACGATGGTACGGTGATCCTGTCATGTCGAGAATAAGTCTTAAAGGTGTGCCTTCTTTGTGCATTTTTGGCAGTCCGTGCAGTCGAGGGATATTTGACCCAGATGGTCATAGGGATTCAAATTATTCGGAATTCATGGAAGAACCGGTCATTAATTTTCGGAGAAGTCTGGCTAGTTGTTTTTCAGTTTGTTCCGTCTTATTATTCTCGTAGGTGGGTTTGATAAACTTTGTTTCATCAGAGAGGATGGATTAAATTTTGTCAATGTATTCTTGGGGATTCATCAAGACAACACCAGTTCCTCTATCAGAATGCATCATTATGATCTCCTTGTTATTCTTCAATTCTCCAACTTCCCCCCAGCGTTTCTTAGTACTATAGATTGACTGTTCGGCATTGTGCTGATTAACTTGTGACAACTGTCGAGAACTGTTGACTTGAAGTGTTCCAGTTGATCATCGGATGTGGGTATCAAGCTAAACTTTCAAATCAGTTATTTGTGACCACGAGTACTATTTACTCCACATTCCAACACTGTTCAACTGAACAATTCAAACGCTAGGTGGTTATATAACACTCATCAGTGACCATCCTTCCTAGATAAGGTGGAACCCTAACTTTCAAATATACCTCTGATCAGTCCTGATTTTGACAGAGCTAACGAACCATCAATCATCTCATGAATAAAACTGACTTTCTGCTTTGTTTGTCTATACCTCAAGAGCTGGTATGCCAACCTAAGCGTTAATAATTTCACATAACCATTGATAAAAATTTCAGACGCGCTAAATAAAGTGAGTAGTCTGGAAAAACTTCAGCTAACAGCCTCTTGTTTATTAGAATAATATCATAATTATGATGAGTTGTGCAGTTAACAATTTCAATTGAGTAGAAATTCTTATGAAACACACCAGGGAAAACAATTGACTGAGAGAAGACAGTTGTAAGTAGGCTTTCAACTATCTAATCTCATCGTTTTTTACCTCGCTACTTTGTAAAATGAATTGAAGCTTTAATTAAACCGGTAAACATTAAGCATAATTGACAAATTTTAATGTAAAAAAAATCATTCGTTTGTCGACTACTTTTTTTATTTAGAGGTAATGTTCATCATGAACTGACATCAGTTGGGGACACATTGAAAACCTAGGGGCACTGGATAGCTGTTTCGTCCTAGTATGGGACTCCTCAGCACTACGCACCCACCACCCGGCTACGGATCGAACTCACGACCTTCAGGTTTCATGGTGAACGCGTTAACTATTCAACCACTGGTCGGTTTCCAGTGGTTCACAATTTCCAACTTCTGTCAATTCACGACATAGCACGACTATCACCCAAGGTCTTCAGTTAGCATCCACTTCACTTCCGACTGGTTGACCCCACAGGTCACGGCTTCTCATTAGAACTTCTTGATATCCATCTGGAAGCAAGTCACTAATGAGAACTATACAGTGATGTATTTTTGAGATGTATTGGGAGTCCCATAGTAGGACGAAACAGTTGTCCAGTGCTCCCAGATTTTCAGTGGTTACCCAACTGATGTCAGTGCATGATGAATACCAACTTGAAAAATCACTAAATCCCCACGAACCCTTGAATTCAATTGATTTAATATTCATTGACGACCAGCTCCATGAGGTAATTCCTAAAGTTTCAATGAGAAGTCGTGAGTGGTTGAGCAAACTTGATGGCCGTGAGAACAAATAGTCAACGATAACATTGAGTGATGGTCGCACTATATCATGAACGTAGATTCCGATGGTAAGATGCTGGTCGTGGAACCTAAAGATCTTTGGTTTGACCTCTGGTGGGGCTAGATCATGGGTATGAACTGTTGTGTAGTCTCATTCCAGGATGAAACAGCTATCAAGTGCTCTCATCTTTCTAATGTTCCACAAACTGACGTCAGTACATGATGAATACCAACTTCAAAAATTGTTTTAAAGTGTGGTGCTGTTGAAAGGGTAAACAGTAGATGATATCACTAGATGAGATAGCACTACAACTGTGTATACACTTGTAAGAGAAGATAATGTTGTGCGTAAAATTAAAAACATAATTTTGTGACCTCAATGAAATTAATTTAAGTAGTATCCCTGTATGATGTTTTTTTGGAAAGTGGTATATACAAAAATTACTTAGCTTCACTGTTCTGAGAGTTTTTCTTCACCTAAACTATACCCGAAGCCCTAAAGAAAGAATCGCAAGAATGATTTTATTTTTCAAGAGATGCTATGAAGCAGTGTAATGCCTACCAGTTCCCGGTGGGAACAACACTAGTTGGGAGCCTGGTACATTCGACTGACAAGTCCCGAATAGGACAAAATGAGCATCCTGAATTCCACTCCTAGCCACTATCCATCACTACCATAATTAGAACACAGATAATATCGAGGCATCCGCACAGGAGCCCATATTCCAATAGAGATCGGTCAATTCGGTCCATTTAGGGACGATACAATACAAGCAATTATGCTAGAACTATATTCGTCTCACAAGAAGTGGCTATTGTGGCTTGGTGGTTTAGTGAATAATGCTCTGGTATTTGAAGTAACCGCTCCAAAGTCAGAATCCCGGTGGGAACAACACCGCTCACTGGGAAACAGGTACCTCCAGCTGACGAGTACCGCAGAGGATGAAATGCGCATCCTGGATTCCACTGCTAGCCACTATCCATAGATGCTATGAATTAGTTAACGACTTCGATGAACTAATCTCTTTCTTATACATGCTGTTCACCTGATAAGTCATTTGCCATTCAGATTTGCTTTTACGCTCTTTCTGATCACACTTTATTTTCGAAATATTCGAAATTTCTCACCATAATTTGGTAATCACTGTATGACTTCATTCATTTCCACATTAATCTTCATTATTCATTACAGTTTTTTAATTTTAATGACAGCTAATATATTGGTATTATTTTTGTTCCTATGCTTGACGAACCACTTTTATCTATCAAATAGTAGCGCAGGAAAAATGTGAAAATTTGCGATTGTACAGTTTTGAGAGTGAAGTTGACGAAAAGAGATTCTTAGCTGAAATATTTATTCTTCCTGATGGCTATCTTTCACACATTGAGAGAGTATCTAAGGTTGCTGATGTTTGAAAACGGTTATTTGTGATACAGGATGATGACTGAAAGTGAGAAAATATCTGGGAACAACCTTCCATGTTGGTCCTCTACCAACTGTCTAATGAGATCTAGTTGATGAACAGGTTTCAATGGGAGCTCGATGAAAGACGGTTTCCTTAGATTTTATTTGAATGAGTACTAATTAATTTTATTGTTTGTCATCATCACAACAGATGCATCGCCAGTTCTTCGTGTTCTAATCTACAGGAGAGGAATGACTGCTCGGGGATTAGTGACATTACAAAAATTTTTATATGCACGTTATAGCTATTCCTTTAAAATCACTCACCGTTATACATAATAAGATTCATTTCTTCACACAGTTTATTTAGTATTCTTAAACTTCTTGTAACCCATTTTTCTTCGAAATACAATGATAAAACTTTGAAAAGCTACCCTCCAGTGACCTTTGTACTTTATGAAGGTATCTATCCCTATAAGAAAGTTTGCTTCCGTTAATTTTATAATCAGTTTATTAATAAAGCTTAGCTACTTCAAATAGAAATAGAAAAGTTATTCCCTACAAGTGTTGTTATACAAAAATTATCAAAAGGTTATCAATATTTAGCTAGATTATGATTGGTTAAATGACTGACCAATTAGTGTTTAGTAATAATTTTATTCGAGAAATCAACTATTCCATATGAGTAGTATAACAGATTAGTAGAATGTCTGAAATTTTAAACGATCAACTAGAATTCATAAAAATGAACATGAAATTTTATATTGTTTTTATTAAATATGGCTGATTCAACTGTGTTTATGATGATTCATTTGGATTATATTTTGGTTATTTTAATTCTTATAAGATGTGATTGGAGTTCATGTGAATTCAAATTACTGGGATCTAATATTCTACATGATAACAATCATACTAATAATGATACAGATCTTAAAATATTATCATTACAATCATCACAGAATACTAGATTAAAACTTGAAAAACAAACAGTTAATACTTTTAATAGACATAAAAAATTTTCATACTTAAATGATATGCAATTAGAAAATTCTGAAAATATTAAACATCCACTTTTATCTGATCCTTTATTTGATCCTTCAATTCTTACAGATTCTGCTGCTCGTGTTATCCAATCAAATCGATGCACTACAGAAGAACGTCAAAAACGTATACAATGCTTTGATATTCTACCTGCTGAACAATATGCTATACCATTAGGACATACAGTAAATATGCAATGTGTTGTACTTAATCAACATGGTAAAGTTCAATGGCGTGCAAAAAAAATACTTCTTGGTAAGTTAAATTATTTTTGCTTTCTTTGAAAATAAACTCATATTAATTGAATGATTGTTGAAACCTGGGGGGTAATGGATAGTTGTTTCTTACTCCTCAACAGTGTATACTCACAATACCATCCATCATTCAGGGATTGAATCCAGGCGTCCCGTTGATTGACAACACTATTATTGCGTTTATTTTACGTCAAGTTGGATCATCTCTCCTTTTAGAACCAAAATTCTATCCATTTAATGTATGAAATAACTTTATCAGAAGTGATTTAAGCACATACAATTTCATATAAGAGATAATGACTTCAAAATACTGTTCTGATTGTTGACTAGAGTGAAGTAATCTAATTTTTCTGTGTGGTGCCAGAGTAATATTTATTTTATTATTATTAGTCCCTTGGGTTCCTAGTGGAACATAGGGCTTCAGCAGCATGTCTCCAGTGACCTCTCTTCTCTGAGATCTTTTGAACCTGGTCCCACGACAGCCCACAACCTCTCATTTCCTCCTCTCACGACCTCCTCCATGTCACCCTCGACACTGACGTCCAACTCGTCGCTTCCCATGGGGATTCCACTCGAGCAACTGGCCTGATGCGTCATGTCCCCAGTCGGCCTTCTCAGTGCATGGCCAATCCATCTCCACTTCTTCCTGCATATTTGTTGGGTATTAGGTTCTTGGTTGGTTCGTTCCCAGAGTTCCTTGTTGCTTATTCTTATTATTCTGGCCATCTGATCTTCAGTAACGAGCCAGCGTAGATGGCAGTTGTTGATGAATGTCTGTAGTTTATTGGAAATGCCTTTCGTGACGCGCCAAGTCTCTCAACCATCACATAGAAGCACTGACTTGACGTTGGTGTTGAAAATCCGTATCTTGTTCCGCATGCTGAGTGCAGAAGATCTCCACACTGGTTTCAGGCTAATGAAAGCCTGTCTTGCTTTTTCGATTCTGACTTTGACATCTTCGTCTGTGCCACCTGTAGTTGAAACAGTGCTTCCTAGATAGGTGAAGGAGGTTACTTCCTTTAAGTTTCTCCCTTTGATGGTGACTGGAGTTTGTTGTTGTTGTTGATGGTGGTGGTGGTGGTGCGGTATCTTCATCACTTCTGTCTTCTCTATATTCACCTGAAGGAAGTCCCGTCTTAGCTGTCTCTTCTATCAACTTGTTAGTTTTTGCCTGTAGATCTTCAAGTTTTTGTGACATCAAGCACAAGTCATCGGCGAAATCCAAGTCTTCTGGGTTCTTTTTCACAGTCCAGCTTATCCCCTTCTTCTCACAGCTCACCAATGTTTGCTGCATGATCCAGTCCACCACAATAAGGACTATCATGGGTGATAGTAGGCAACCTTGTTTCACTCCTGTCTTCACTTCAAAAGCATCACTGAGCTGAGCTTCCCATTGTGAATTACTTGGCTGGTATGTGGCATCTTCATATAGTTGTTGAATGAGGCGGATAAAGGTTTGCGGTACTCCGTAGTATTGAAGCAGTTTCCAAATTACTTCTCGGTCGACGCTGTCAAAGGCCTTCTCAAAGTCGATGGAGTTGAGGTAGAGAGCTGATTGCCATTCGGTGCCAGAGTAAGGTGTCAGGAAATTATGTTCCAGATTCTTTTTATTCTGCATTTGAAATTACTCGCCAAGAATTACTTTTTTAAATAGTATTTATATTTACACCACGCTCCCTTTTAAAATCATTAAAAAGTTTTTCATTGTTATTGAGTTAAAGAGACTGATGATATGATCGGATTGCAAATTTGAGAAACACAAACCAAGAAAAAATGATTTTTTGAATTGTAAAGGGAAACAGAGATTATCAGCAAATGAACTACTACTGTTTGTGTCACTCAATAGTTAAGATTAGTTGATATGCTTTTCTACAGAGTAGACATCATATTGTAGAACAATAATCCCATTTACTGTCATAAATAATGTAATGACTGAGTGACTTCAAAGGTCAATTTAGCAACTGTAGAAATAACTAATTATATCGCTTCATTTTTTGAAAAAAACATCTTTCCAAGCTGACATGAAAAGAGTTGATTCATAATTTTTTTGGTTACTAAGTTGAATTTTAGGGTCACTCTTATGAATACTACCCACGTTACAAAATTATACTTTTCCATACTCATGAAGTGATGATAATATTGAAGACACTGAATGATAGCTTAGTGACAAGTGTTGAATACTTTGGACATCATAAAAGTAGATTGTGCATGTTTGCTTTTTTATAACACATATGAGAGGAAATCAAAACGTCGACAGAAAGTTGCTGGGATCCCCTTTAAGCAAGTAGATCAACTCGACGTAATACATAACAGTTTAATAGTAAACTTTAACCAATTATTGTTGATGACATTCAAGACGCTTAACAGCATTAAGAGGTATATAATAAAAAAGGCTTGGGAAATAAAAATTGATGGGGGATTTCTTGGTAGTTGCTTAAACTGTGAGTCCATGACATGTTTGTGTCAAAGACCACAACTTATGATCTTGGCTGAGTGGTATCCAACTCAAACCCAGTTGACACCACACTTGAGGAGCTGGAAAGACTTACTCAGCTGTTAGAAATGTCAACATCAACCGCACAATTTTTAAATCACTTTGAAACTGATCAACCAACTGATGGAATACCGGTTCATACAAATTAAATGGCCAAATTCAGATGATATGAACTATTTCGGCTCTATGAGATAAATCTGTTCCAGTACATCGTTGATAAACTCAGCTACAAACGAGAGAAATGACCGTCTGGTGTTTAGATCACTGTGATCTGACTGGCGAAATAATACAAGTCAGCGCGATTTCTAACTACTCAAGTTGGTCATTAGTAGTATAAAGTATCTCTTGTCCATTCCTTTTTACACACTATAATTTCATGTAAGCTGTTTAAATATCTAAAAATAGTAGATTCACGCAGCTGACTAACTTGCGGTGTAGACAGAATGAATCTCTACGTACACATACATTTTCATTTATTTTTTTATATCATCAGCAATCGGTAAAACCACTCTTTAAGAGCTTACTAAGTTACTCAGTAGTTTCTTAGTCAACAAATGAGAGTTGTTGGTCAGAATATTTTGAAGGGTTTAAAACTAGCGTTATATCTCACGTATTATATTATACATAAGTATACCCATTGTAACAAATCTATAAAGACTATTTACTCAATCCTTTTTTCAGGTTTCTGTATCTTATGAATAAAATTGCACGGTGGTCACAAGTGTTAGTTACTTTGAGTTCTTCAAAGATATACAACGTAATAATAAAAAGAAACATTGGTCACCATAATTTATGAGCTAAAACAAGGAAATATCAACGACTGGACCCACATTAAGACACCCATGCTTGTATTCTTCTGAAGATTTATGAGTGACATAATTGATTGGGAACTACTTTCTACGAACGACCGGTATAAGTTGTGAAACCACTGGCACCTGAAGGTACTGAGTAGCTGTTTTATTACCGTTTGGGACTTCTGCGCAGTGGCATCAACCAAGCACAGTGTAGAGGAAAGTACCCATTTATGACAGTGTATGATGATCTCGCTACATTGTGAATTTGTAGAAGTAGTGACGTAAAAGTACTGGAATACAGCTGTATAATGGCGTGCAGATTATGAAATGCAGCCACCCTTACCTTGATTACACATGAGGGTTCGGGTACAGACTGCCTAACCGGCTCAGACTTAGACAAAACACTTGTCGACTTCTCACGGGTTTTCAAATTTTCTTGAATGATTTTCAGTTTCTGATGTAAGCTATTTAGAAGCCTTTCAGTTCCCAAATGCTCAACGTCCTAGACCTGAGTTTTGCGCTTTTTGGGAGTCGTCATCAAGACGTACCTGTGAACTTCAGGGAACTGATCTCCTCACAGAAGTTTGGACCTGCATCATCTAATGCTACGGTCAATAAAATTATAGCTAAGCTATTCGGGTACAGTGACAACAAGCATGAAATTTAGGCCCAGAGCTTTATGTAGACCACCTCCACCCATCTAACACCAAACAAAATTTACACCATGCGCATAGGTCTCCACATTTGGTGACACTATTGCAAAGTGATCAGTAGAATTTTGATCAGCCCAAAGGAGTGGAAGACTTGAAACTAGTTACTTTCTCCCAGTTATTTTCGAAATGTAACCTCTTTATCCAAAATAAGCTGAAAATAGTCAAGATTCCGATAGAAATCTAATGATAACATTAGTGAAAAACATAAGTAAACATCTCCTTAGTAGTGTGAAATGGAGATGAAGTTGTTCACAGCACTAGCGCAGCTTTATATTTGAAATGAAATATGACTAATCTGCAATATTTAGATATTATTCAGTGACTGTATTAACTGTGGGTTTGAAATCAGCAATCGAAAGGTCATTCTTTCAGTTAATTAATATGTAAACTATCTCTCATAGCCGAGTGATTACCTTGTGGCCAGACTGAAAGGTCAGTTGGATCTATCTTCCTGATAATATCTAATACGGTTCTAAAGACCAAATAATGCCCGGGCATTGTTTGCCTTACCAAATAGAGCTTACTTTGATGGGTTGAGTTCTCTAAGCTGAACTGTTCAGTCGTTAAGCTTTCGTCGTCACTCTAGACAACTTCAGAAAGAAGTAAGCATCAAAGTTTTCTCCGTAATTTATTTAGTAGTTTGTCCTGATATTCTTGTGTGTCTTTGGTTACTTCTAGCAAGTTCTTCTCGTCCTCTCTATGTTTATTTTGATTAGTTGACGTGATGACCTGAAATATGACCCTCTTTTTGCTTCTCACTTGTTGGTAGATTATGTCTGTTGATCGCTGACTGGCCTGATTACCAAGCTCCAAAAATTCTCCTACATTCTTTATACTTCTATCTTGGATTACTTTCTCAGTCAAATTCATGTTCAAAGTTGTTCTCATGCATTAATATGAATGAAGATATGTCATGACGCTTCACTGCTAGTTAATGTTCACGTAGATGGATGCGAAGAGAGCGACCACTCTGTCCGATTTAGTTTTTCTCAGTTTCAGC